TGCTGGCATGACAACGGCTATCGGTTTGACATATTCAACACAACCTCTTATGGCTAGCTGGTTGCTAGCTCGTCCATTATCGGAGGTCAACGGGCAAAGAAAAGGGTCCCATTTTGCGCCTTCTTGACGGATTTCTTTGCTTTTTTCGCCACTGGGGCATTATTCAGCATCTCCACTTCCACTATGAACCCAGTCCAATCTCATCGTAATCCCTCGCTTAAAGGAGGAATTCACGATTAGAATGAAGGTCGAAGAAAGGGAAACTGACCTAGTTGAGGGACCCACGGACCTCCTGAGGGTGCGAACTGACGCGCAATTCGCATGGAAAAATTTGACCTCGGCGACCTATCATGCCTCAAAGCTGGCGGGTCCGGCGATCTCCGCCCACCGATCATCTGATCACTCGCCGTAGTTCAATACGTGGCGAGTGATTAGATAGCTGAGAGAGCGTAGTGTTGAAGAGGGCACAGCGATGAGAGTCGCATCAATGCTCGAATCAACGGGCAAGGAAGGGGTACCATTTCTCGGGTTCTGGGCCGTTTCTCATGGTTCTTCCTTCTTTCGTGTACCACTCACCATCCCTAGGTTAATTTGAAATGGGTTGCTTTTTCATCGTGAATTCGTCCTTAAAGCTCTTCACGCATGAATGGCACGCGTACGCGCCAGTCACTTTTCGCACCGAGTAGGTGGGGTTTTGCGTTCTATGGTGATGCTGTTCAGAAGCTAAATTTGCAACCAAGCCTAGATTTGTCTTTAGAGAGCACCATACTCATTGTTATATTATTCTTATTCAAATTGTTGATTAATGTGAATTCAGTTTTCGCTTGAAGATTGCGGCGCCAATGGTGAGAAGCCTTGCCTTCCAAGCGGTAACCTTTTCATTTGTTAGGCTCGTTTAACTGGATACCATGGAGTGAGCGATGTGTTGAGTGCCGTGAAGTTCTTGAGAGACAACGCCGACCTCCTTCACATCGGAAAGATCACAGTGTGGGCTGAGTCGCTGGTTGCGGAAACGGTTGCATCAGCTTTGTCAAGAACCGGTAATTCCGCTCAAGCACAAAACGATCAAGAGCTGAATGAAGAATTTTAGACGTTGACCGAGCGATCCTTATAAATGGAAACGCTAGAACCCGAACAATAGCGAGAGAACATTTCGCAAGCAGAGCTGCACATAAACTATTCACAGAGTTGGAGGTATCGTTTTCAAACCTTGCTTGGAGCAATCGGTAAAAGAATCGCTAAAGGGTTTAGTGCGATCTGCCATCCTCCGGCCAAGCAATGGACTGCTTAAGAACGAAGAAACTCTCCGAGCTGTATAAGGCGGCCGATAAAGTTTCGGTACGTTTATTTGTTGTGGCGGTTCCTGACACTTCGAAAAAGAAATCCCAGTGTGATCATTTCTCCTTAACAACCATGATAGTTCGGGTTTTGCAGTCCAAATGTCGAGGGTCTCTTACATCTATATAGGAAAAATGCTTCCCCATTTACGAGAACTGGTTTAGGCGTTTAGGAGAGACGCAGACGGACCGGTGGACGAGTCTCAACGCGTACTGCAGTAGATTCTGGCCAAGTCAAATAGAATATGCTATAGTAAGCTCCCATCACAGTCCTGCGACTTCGTTAGCATGAGCTGTATGCTATTGCTACCATCTCGCCGCTTTCACAAGATGCTTGGAGTGGAAGGGTGGGCAGGAAGGGGGTAAATGCCCGAAATTGCGCATATAAGTCAAGAGACGGGTTTCAGGAGAGCTACAGGAAAGCATAGAATTGGATATTCACATCATTTTCTGTTAATTTCGAGAAACATCATCAACTCCAAAAATTTAAGTACAAGGACTGATATAGTGTAGTGATGTCCTGGGAATTAAAACAATAATTCCGTAAGAATTGCCCGTCATTCGAGTAGTGTTTCAGAAGGCCTTCTATCCGTTCGGTATCCCGTTCAGGTCTCCATCTTATGAGCAGCCAGCCATTCCCACTATTCTTGGTGTATTCAAGCAGCTGCCGAAAGGTGAGCATTCAGCGAATTCCTCAGCAAGCGCAATGTGAGCTGAAATCAGGCAATATTTCCAGATTATCCAACGGATGCTAATTTTGACGAAAAATATCAGTATATCGATTTCAAGAGGTTTCTTGCCGGACTACTACCTGACACGCAATTCCGGTGAGGGCTTTTTCCTGCACGGTGTTCTACCGAGCTAAGGGCAGCGTTGTTGGATTGAGTGGATCTTACATAAGTTCTAGAGCCCAGATCCTACTTTTGTGCCTGGTACACGACGCTGCCAATCTGCTCGATCCTTTGCTATATATAAAGTTTGACTAACTGGAGAGTTGTTAACCGAGGTGATGCTCATAAAAACCAATTCAGAAACGCTCCTCTTCTACGAAGGCAAATTCTCCATCAGTACATCTACACGCAAGGAGACAAGAAGAACACCTACTTTTTGTTCGAGCAAATGAGAAAAGTATGCAACTGGTTTCTAATTTTTCAACTTCTCATTAATTTTATTAGTTCTGCGTTGTTGAAGGGCCCTTTCAGTTATAGTTAATGCAGTACTATAGTTTTCTGCTGTAGTAGAATGCCTACATTTATTTTTACTTTTTTTTTGAAAATTCAGCCAAGTGCCTCTCCATCTTGTGCTTTCAACAACTCAAGTTCAGATTCTGCTGGATCGTGATTTCATTGCGCCCACTCAACAACTTGTCGCTGAACTCAAACACCTTTCAGTGAACATTAAACAAAAGAAGGTACTGATCTTGCTTAGTCATAACCCTATTCCGTTTATTAGCATTCTCTGAAGAACTGCCGTTTCGAAGGAGTTCTGCACAATGTGTCGCATTTGTCTAGGCTGGTGTTTCTGCCAGTTCGTTCAAATATATCCCATAATCGAATCAAGCTAGTAACTTACGGGAGATGAAAGGCTGCCCTTCCGTCTCACGGTTTTATTCTCGATTCTTGTTTAGGTCATAAACATGGCTTCAGTCCCCACGTACATTTCGCCTATACCATATTCGAAAAATCGGCATGCCCGTCCGACTAATCTTGCACTTTTGTCTGTTTCGGATCAATAAGGCCACTTGTGCATTGCGTGAAGCTTTTGGCCCCAATTCCAATAAACAACGTAAATGGTGTATTGCTCCCAACAATAGTTATCACACCATCAGTAACGTGACTTTGTCAACAGGGGTAGCCAAAGAGTTGGTGTTAGCGTGCCAAAAAAGTAACAACTGCCATTCGTTGAAACGCACCGATGTTAAGATGTTCTATGTTCAACAAAATCATGAAGTAGGCCAGATCGGACGATCGTGTCGTCCGGACGTGAGTGATTGATTTTAATCTAAGCGTGCACACCACCAACCATATGCATATTTAGAAGCGGCTCATGTCCTGTCAAGGAGGTCCTTCAGGACATGGAGCGTTTTTTCAAAATGGTTTTCTGAATGTTGTAGAGGCTCATGTGAGGAGCACAGAACCACGGTTCATTTCTCCTGAACGCCCCCAGGATGCCAAAAACAGCGGGGAAGAAATGGCCCCAAGTTCGATCATCCGTTATGAAAAATATTATTGCAAATTCAGGTTGACACACTTCCGAAAATGTCTACAGAAACGCCACAATGACATCATTCTCGACAGCAGCGCCATTGGCGGCAACCTGGGGGCCCTAAACCGACATTCCATGAAGGGGTCAGGAAAAAATGGATATGTGTTCCTCGTAAGAGCACCCCTACATGCCGAAACACCATTCCGAAAAGCGCTCCGAGTCGCGAAAGACCTCCATTGTTAGGGAAGGGGGGGGGGTTGCATCTAGAAAACGCTGGTAAATGACACTAAAATTAATGGTAAGCTCAGGGGAGGGGAGTAGTGCCAGGGAGAACAAAAATTGCTGACATGCCTTCTCAGAATCCCTCCATGTCCCTAAAGCTCAGCTGCAGTGCAAATACGCTCACTCAGGTGAATGTCCCCAGTCACCCCACCCCCCCCGCCGAACCTCTTCACTTCTAGCTATGACGAATAACTCACTTCGAGAGCAGTACGTGATAAGTACGCGACAGAATAGCTTATGAGATAAAGAGAAAGGGAAGGTACCCTTCAAAATGTCACATTTATGCGAGTTCAGTATCTAAAGATGACACTGACCTTTATGGCTTTATGGCAGGAGTTAAGTTATTACTTATACGGTAGTAGAAGTTTCGATTTTCACAAGAAGGGTGGGAGTTCAAATTGTTGCAGCAATGATGATTTCGTAATAACTTCGTATTAGTTAATCATAGCAATTGCATAGAGTGATTCTTCACTCACGATAGGTCAACGCCCCTGAACACATCTACGCATTGCTATGAATGAAGCATAGTTCTGTTGCTGTGAAAGGGCATAGCTAAAAGAATGGGGGAGAATATGCGGACAGTTCACCCTAGTCGGCTGCCACTCGTCAGGCCACCATGGCCACTCACCTCGCACAATTCGCGAGTTTAGCCTTCGGCAGGAGCTTCCTGACGCATTTCAAGGGACACTTCGCGATTAGTTTATTGTGATGATCCCTTCTATCAATATTTCGGGGAGGGGCGGCAGGAGGGGGCTTGCTAATTATAGGTTGCGTTTCATCTCGCGACTAAAACTACACGGCTATCGGCCGTGCTAGACCGCCTCACTGCATCTCTGTTGCACCCAGAATACTGGCCATACCGTGATTGTGCCTTCTCCGTAATGCCCAGAACGTTACCAAGCAGTCAAAATCAAATTTTGATGAGTCCTTGTTCAGAGTCCTGTCTACTTGCTCGAATACGGCATCGACAATCCACCTACCTCGTGTTTGCAAGACGGCGGATGGGACGACATCAAGCCATTCTGCGACAAAATGTTTCAGTACTTCACACGATTTGCTACGAAAGGGTGAGATATTATAATATTTTTTTTGTTAGGTTGACCCAAAAATTGGTGCATGTTTTGAACAGTTTTTGGCCCACACTATTTCAAGCACAAAAAGTCCAATTACTCCATTAATTTCATTCATTAATTCTCATCACTTATTATTGACTGATGTAAACGGTGATGTGGGAAGTACCTACGGACCATGTCTTTCTGTCAAACTGAGCAATAAGAATAGAATGCAGATTGAGGAGGCTTGTCAGCGTGCTACGGTGGATATAGCAGTAGCTTTCAACTGATGATGAGCTTGAAGGTTCCAGAGTTGCGTCATCTTCGAAACGTGTTGTCTCTACTGCTGTGAAGTGGACGTGTATTTGAGTACTGCGCGCAGTTGTTGCAGTTTCACCATGAATCTCTGCCGTTGATCATGCCAGACCTGCCTAGCTTCACATCTTTAACGAAGAAGAGGTTTTCAGTGTTGGCTTGCCAGCGGTCTAGCGGAGACGGAGACGGCCCTGTGGTGAATTTGTAAAATTTTCAGCCTCCTCTGCTCGATCCAACCCTTGAGGCTTCTTCGTGTGGTTGTCACGGAGTTGCACTACGACACTGTTAAACCACTGCGAAAGGGGGGAATAGGAAACAAGTCATGGAAAGAACTCGAATCGCACTTTATAAGTGGTCAATTCATGAGCGAATTGCGGGCAGTACTTCAACCCTGTTAAGGGCGATGGAGGACATCAATGAACTGTGCCCTGAAAAATCAGAGTTGGTTGCCACACAGCAGCTTATCTTCTGAGCAGCTTGAGGGGAAAGCACGGCTAGTCCCATTCGACAGCGATGGCCATAACCCTCTTTTCTCCTTTTCGAGAGAGTCCTCTTTTCAAGGCCGTAGTGACCCCAGCGAAGAGATCTAATGTTCTTGTTCTGGACGAGGGCGAGGTCAGGAAGATGAATCGTGGAGCAAATTTTGAGTCTATTTACCATCTCCTTGTAGTTCAATGGAAGATCATGAAGAAATGCTCGAGAAATATGGCTCCCTTCGTTTTCATTTTAAACTCGAAGAAAGCAACTACGTGGGCATGATTCGGTTATAAATGAGTACATGTAGTGCCCTCTCCACATCTCACGCAAACATGGTTAGAATTCGCTGAAGGGTGTTGACGCGAGATCCAAAAAATTCGCACATTTTTCGGAACAATTAATAAATAAAATCGATTAAGAAACATGAAGCTTTATCCAAGCGTAGTGACGTTTGTCTTCATTCTCGCGTTGTCGCGAGCAATAAAGGCACGAGTCGATCGAGCTTTTATAATTATTTTGCTCGAAAATTTGACAAGGAGTGCTATGAGGAATGTCAGTGGGGAGAAAAAGCAAAAAGCACCATACAAAATACTAAAATTTCCCTTGTGAGGACGATTGTGGTATGATGGAGAGACACAGCGCTGCGATGAGAGGGAAAACGCGAGAAGACGCAAACACAGCGTATACGGTTGATAACGATGCCAGCAAGGCCTTAACGCCGTTGACTCGCACTTTTAGTTCGCAACAGTATCCACTGCCAGCATTTGAGGACCACTCTTCTCACTGCTCTTGCAACCTATCCCGGATCGTGACTCAGCCAGCGCGTAAGTTCTGAGTGCCTACCGGCATTGTTAACTATAAATAAACTTCGTATGAATGAAGCTATATTAAAATGTTGATTAGTAAACTTTTTGTGATGCGTGCGTTACGCATTCGTCCTAGGTTGTGAACTGCAGTAGCATTCAAATGCAAACTGCCCTAATTGTTAATTCTTATGAATTTAAATATTGCCAGGTCTCTGCCCAGGCGAGGGATCTATTGCTGGAGATGAAAAGCTTTGTTGACCTAATTGAGCTCCAATTCTCAGACTGCCTATGGAGCATAGCCGCTCTTCTTGCCTTTGCACTATCTTCGCCTGATACTGATTAAATAACGAAAAGGCTACGAAGCCAAATTTGTTAGACGATGTGAGACAATTAACACTACTCTTTCAGGGAACCAACGAAAAACAGCTGTGAGAAAACGAACCCAACTTGGCCGGCCATGGGATCCACCAAACGGGACTATCACGTCATACTGAAGTTGCATCGTATAAAAAATTAAAAGCCAACGGTGAAAAATTACGAAACAATTTCTTTTCTGACATTGAAAAGTCACTAGTTCTCACGAACTTGATTCAGGTCGAGTGGAGAGTCCTGTGAGGCGATCCTACCAATTTTTTTTAGTAGTTGCCCTGACCACGCATTTTTCAGGAAACGCTTGGTTTTCAGCTTATATCGCTTGTAGTAGGTACGATTGGTCCCTCAAGAGCACACCTTTTTTCTTATGAGAAATTTTTGAATATACCAGAGTTTATTCCGTAGGCACATGCCTAAAGGCTTGATATGTGTGAAAATGATGGAAATCGTAGCCAATGCTTCGAACTGTTTTCTTAGGCTGACGGAACCATTGAATGGGAATGGAACTTTCACTTGGCCAGCACACAGCTATGGAATAACTTTGTAAGTTTACCTTTTTTCTATCTAACTGTATTGCCATACCCGAAGTCACTGACGGAATACTACTTCTCTAATAGCGCAACGAGCCAGAAGTAGCTTCATCTACATCCGATGAATGCCTACTTTTTCAGCTTTGCTAATTCAAATTTTTCCAGCTCCTGGCCCTGGATACATTGGAACTGAAAGGGAGACGAGACGCTGTGTTCAAAGAAGAAACTCAACTTGACCCTCATGAAGTTGAAGACGATATCCAGGTCTTGCCTTATTTTTGAAATTTTCAATCAGCTTTTGATTACAAGTTGCTACCATTCACCATTATAGAGAAATGGGAGCATTATGCCACGAAAGCATCTTATGACAATCGAAGACATCTAGGATTACACCTTGTCCTTACTTTAATTTAGCTTGAAAGTTTGTCCTCTTCGTTTCAGGAATGGCACAGAAATGCCGCCGAAATCAGTAACTTCGACCATGCCATGGAAGATATGTCGCTGCACATGGAATTATAAGCACTCGCTTCTCAGATATCACCATCAACTCTACAGAGCGCTTTTTACTTGTAGTTACGATAGACTCAAATTTGCAGAATAATCCACCATTCTTAGGCAAGGCATTCACACATTCCAGGCGGTGTAATAGCACCGAATTTATTTTGAGTAGACTCCGGAACAAGGAAACATTTGGGTTTTTGTGAAGATGCCCTAATTTTAACCACTTTTAGGATGACATTGGCTGATAGATTAACTCTGTTATCTTCCAAAGGCAATGGACACGCTGAGTGTTTAGTATGCATACGTGATCCTGCCCTCACTGCATGGTTCTTACCCTATAAAGGCAAATCCCGGGATTAAACTGGTGCTTAGAGCGCGAATTGAAAATGGAGAGGAAAGCAAGAGAGTACTTGGGAACGCTGAAATTAAGGCCTTAACCTTCAATAAGGTCGGATGTGTACGATGGCGAGACAGGGCGATCAAAGAAGACAAAACACGCGAGAGAGCACGTCGTTCGAGAGAGCACGCTGATCTCACCATCTCTCGCGGTGGGTGGGAAGCGTTGCAACGGGGGTCGATGGTTGCAGGCCCGTAAGGATTAGCGCCCTAACCGCGCAATTTTGCGACGAAGCTGGAGTGATCTAGGTAGGTACGGACCTTACAATTTCCCTCGCGGTATCCTTCCTACTAGTCGGGCTAATCCCGGGTTTGCCTTTAATAGAAAATACACCAGCTGTGAGTGTGAAACAAGCTAGGAGACCCATCCTTTGCGCTCAATGTGCCAGTGCCTTCAGTGGTTGTATCTTTCTATTTCTTCCCAAATTTTTGGAAAGCTGTGACAATCCGACTTCTGGCTTATATTGCGCATGCTGCTTTAGGCGGGTAGCAGATCAGCATTGCCACAATAGCGAGTGCGACAGCGACCAGAGCCACTCCCGCTACGCCTACTACTATCGCGGCGGCACCCCTTTTTCTTGCCCTTCTTCCCACGCTCGTCTTTATCGTAGTCGATCATAGCAACATGATAGCGATGTCGCGGCTATATACTTTGCCATCGCAACAGAGTTGTCGCTTTCGCTATCGCGATTGTCAGTCGCGGAGTATGAGATCCACCTTAACGCAGCTGCAGCTGAGACATCCTCCATTTTTCACTACGTATTCATTACCTCAAGGTGAAGTGCTGGCCTGTTTGCTGAAGGTCTGTTGTCCTCTTTGGACAGTTAATCAGCGCACGATTGCCCTCCATCAATTCATGTCATTTTGGTTCCTCTTCGTTTTCTTGCTGTGAATCTTCACGCGAATAAATATATCACACATGTTCCTGCAATTCTATTAGCGAATAAGAAGACACGATTCGCACTGAAATCTTATGAGAGCACTCTGGACGCGTAAAGTGTGTGAGCTTCTCCTCATGCAGCTTTTTGTTAATTTACGGCAAATGGAATCAAACTATATATTGGATGTCAGGCTGCAGTGCTTATGTACTTAGGAAACGGGACAGTGAACGATTACAAAATGGGCATGAATTGTACTAATCATTAGTTTTATCAGTGTACTATTGAAATAGATCAACTGAGTTGGGAGGCCTTACGGCACTCTTCAGCTCCGATGACGTTTTCAGTCATTCCTCTTCTCAACAGTTATCGACACCCATCTGGTGTTGATTTCCCAACTTTTTCATTCCTCTACTGGTTCAGTTTGCACATGCTCTCTTTTATTGCTTCACAGTTTCTCAGCCAGCTCTTAGAGAGAACTGTTGAGCTTCGAGGAAATCTGCTCAGGCTTCCTAATCCACCTCTTTGATAACCCGCACAATCGCGCCTCCCGGGTTGACAGAATGGAGATCTTTTCCGGGGATTTGGAAAACAAAGGTTTCTAAAGTTAGACATGAATTTCTCATACAATCTCCAAAACAGAGCAAAATGCTACGCACATGTTGTTTTTCGCCACCCTATAATGGCGCCGCTTGTCACATCCGAAATCAAAAGTGGGACCAAATTTCTTTTAGGTCGGCCAAATCTTCTTTCTTAGGCCAAGTAGTTGGCAACAAGTTCACTTGGAAAGATTGAAAAACCGCTGTGTACATCGACCGACCTACGCGGATACTTTACAGGTTCAAGTCCACGTAAACTTCACTACTTCTTTGGATGGAGCTGGAATGCATATAGCGCATCAACAAATGGTTCGGTGAAGAGTTGTACTGATACTTTTTGTTCGAAGGGCAAAACGACGTGATGTTTTGAGACAAACACACCACTCCTCAGTGAGTTGGCGGAAAAAAAGATGGAATGTTTGAAGTTCAATCCTAAAATGGTCAAAGGACGCCACATCGTTTGTCTCCTACCCTTTCTGATGCCCGTGGACGAGTTGCTTTTTGCTATTGTGATTTTTCCCATAAACATGAATGGAAGACTCCGGTTCCTTGGAACTGTAGGGATGGCTCTGAAGCGAGAGAAAATTGTCTTAATTGTGGCAATATATCGTATTGCCCATGTGCGGTAGTTTACGCTGAGTGGCCATTCCTGGTTCGCACGACGTATCTACAACGACAGCCAATTCCCTCAGTCGCTCATCTTACAAATCAACATATTGTTGACGATGTCCATTTCTGATACGGTAAGATATGAATATTCTTCGGTCTCAGAATACATTCTACAGATCGTTGAAGTTGCCTGATGATCGAGAAATTTCTCAAACGCTTGTGAGAATTTAAGATCCAATTTAGCTCACTCTATTCCCATGTTCAGGAGTTTGTGAATGCCGTCAATACAATAAAACGACTACGAGCACGTTTCGATCAGCGAAAGGTTGGCATTTGCAGTTGAAACATACGTATATCTATCAAACATGGCAACTGTCGAGGTTTCCCAATTCCTACACAAGCTTAGCTCCCTTCAGTGCTTCCACTTTGAAGTCAAACCTCCACTTCGCAGTAGTAGCGTATTTACAGAGTGGAAAGAACGCTATTACGATCTTAGCACCACATTATCAACGCTAACTTGGTTCCTCGTTATGTTAATTATCCTCCCTACCCTTCACACACCGTTTGGTATTTTGTGAACTGACAGACAGATATCCTGACCATCATTTAAGTACATATACATAATGCATGCATACATACAGACATGTCGACACACTTAGCTGTCGGTTCATTTCGTATTGAATTGTCCCATAATTTCTGTCCGAATGTCGACACCTTTATCTCTTCATGTTTTATCTTTCTTGAAAACCGTTTGATCAAAATGGAACCATTATCATAATCCTTGATATGCATCCATTCACCTGGGAACTTCTGGAAACTTTCGGAGGCGAACCCCTAGTATAGCCTGCCTTCTCGGAGACAGCGAGATTCATATACCTTAACTTTTGTAGGCATGGTGCGCACTAAAAAGTCTGACCACTTCCTACTACTTGTCTGAATT